GGTGGTGCTGACTTTACAATGGAGTTGAAAATCATTTTCATGCTGAGTGCTGTTGACCTTCACAGAGACTTGAGAGAAATGAAAGCTTGCCTTGCTTTCCCGATCCTCGCTGCTTTGATATCCTCATCAGTTGCGTTCTCCTGTAGTTGAAACGATGCTTTCCGGGTAGGTAGAAGAGGTTACTTCTTTCAGATTTCTCCGGTTTATGCTGATTGTTGGCTGTTGCTATTGTTATTGGCCAGGAATCTTCATCACCTCTGTTTTCTCTGTGTTCACCTGAAGTCCTATCTCCTCTGGATGCCTCTTCTGCCAACTTGTTGCTTTTCGCTTGCATATCTTCCAGTTTGTGGGAAATTAGACATATATCATCGGCGAAATCCAGATCCTCCAAGTTTCTTTTTGTGTGGGTCCATTTTATGCCTGTTTTCTCTCTGCCCGCCAGTGTCTTTTGCATTATCCAGTCTACCACAATCAGGAGAATCATTGGAGATAGTAGGCAGCCAGCTTTGTTTTACTCTCGTTTTCATTTCGAAGAATTCCGTGAGTTTCCCATTGTGGATTACTTGGCATGCAGCATTGTCGTACAGCTGTTGGATGAGGTGTATAATTGTTGGTGGCACCCCGTAGTAGTCGATATGATTATGAGGAATAAATTGTACCCGAAATGCCATTCAATTATCAACAGTATCAATGTGTATAATGTCAAATAAATTTTTAATATGGGATTTAGAAATAACAGTTGATTTCCTAAGAGCTTAGTTGTACTTCTACAGCAGTGTAATGATTCACTGCTGGTAATATTCATACAAATTCAATTACTTCTGCCTCAAACCCAACCACTGTCCAGATATTTCCGTAAAAGCGTACAGTTTAATATCAGGTGTGTAAACATCTTAATTTTCATCAAAACCTGAATTGTTAATGAATTTTCTGTATGGATCGATGCTCATTTTGAGTAGATCGTTAAATAACCATTGTGAGACTAGTAATCAGATATAGCTTCGGAACAATAAGTGGAGAAATACCTCCCACCACATAATAATAATCTACTTTATTCCAAAAACAGTACTTATAATACAGAATGGAATTCTCAGCATTTGTCACAATACTGCATCTGATTTAATTAAAATATAAATAAAATTAAAAATTCAAACAAAATTAACCGGAGGAATTTGTCCACGTTACGATATAAAGTCAAAAATCTTCGAAGCACAAATTGAGAATATTAAATATATTATAATAATGACAGTGAGTTTGTTTCAAACAGTATTGTCGATTCAGTTTGAGAATTTTAGCATGTCATAGATTATTGAATCTAATGTTCTGTTGATACGGTATAGTGAGGAGAAATACAAAATTAACAGTCATAATACAGCTTAAATGATGTTCACACTTATGAAAAAAATAAACAAAACAAAAAATTGAGAAAATTATAAATATAGGAAATACAATAACAATAAAGTTTGATGCTTAAACGGTGAAGGAAATGGTTTATTTAGTGGTGCTAAGAAGGTTAGTTAGTTCATTTCTGACACTATTTTCATCACATAAAGTACGTGCCACTAAATATGGTATAGTGGAATTTTTATACTTAGACGTACGTGCATAAAGTCTTCTGAAAAGACTTCTTGTTTTACCTGAGGAGACACAAGGTTGGAGCTGCTGGTAGAGTGGGTGCTCAGAGTCTGACAAAATTCCTCTAGCGAATTTGTTGCATGACATCAAATGTCTATCGGTGTTGACAAAGTGTAACAGGAGGAGTGATTGGGTTATGCCTGAGTACCTTAACTTCTTAATGTAAAAAGTCAGACGAAATATTCTTTTAGAAATCACTAAGACATGGGAAGACCAGGATTGGTCAGAAGAAAGAATTAATCCAAGATACTTAATTCAAGACTTGGTTTCTATATCATTATCATCAATTTTGCAAGGGTCATAGGAATCAACGGCTTCATTTAACTTTCGTTTACATCGGAAACTGAAATTAACAGTCTGACATCTGGAAGGATTAAGTTTAAGGCCGTTAGACGAAGACCATTTGCTAATTCCTGATAGAAAGCAGTTCATCTTAGTACAGTCAAGCTGGGAGTTAACAGACATTGAAATAGTTAGATCATCGGCATACTTAACAAAGTTCATTTCATCAGAGTGAGGCAAGTCATGCAAGAAGAAAGAAAATAGAAAAGGGACACCAGCCTCAGTAAGCAATGAAGTGGACGACTTCCCCTGACATACAGTGTACCGCTTTCTTCCTGAGAAATAAGAATGAGCCATTTGACAACCCAACAGTCAGTTTGAGTTCCAGCAAGATTGTTTAACAAAATGTCCTTAGGTACTGAGTCGAAAGCAGATGTGTAGTCTAGGAAGGTGCAGCGAACGAATTTAGCCCCCTTATCTAAGCTGGAGACAATGTTATGATACAGGACTGCAACTGCATCTAAAGTACTTCTACTGTGTTTATAGGCGAATTGTTTGGGGTCGTTAAAGGCTTTAAGTGAAGGTTGAAGATTAATTAAGAGTAACTTTTCCATAGATTTTAGGAAAGGAAGGTTAATAGCAATAGGTCTAAATTTAAAACATGTTCCAGTAGACGACTTAGGTATAGGTACAATTTTAATTTCCTTCCAAGCGGCTGGCACGACATTTTTGGAAAAAGATTAGTTAAATATGTCCATGAAAGGATAACGCAGGATATCTGCACACTTGTTAAGAATAACACTAGGCAAACCATCTGGACCCAGGCTAGAAGAAGGGTTCATAGACTGGAGGCATTTTAAAACATCATTTTTATTGAAACCAGGGAAACAGGTTTCATTAACACTTGTGACACTCTAAAGTTTGGCACTTGTGGAAGAATGTATGAAAGACTTGTTTAGTGTGAAAACATCAAAAGAATGGAGTTAGTTACCAGGTAGAGTTGAGAGATGTAAATAATGAGTGAGTAGAAATAATAAAAAAAATTAGATTTCATTGGATTGGATATTTTCTAGAGTAGCGTTCGGCTTAATTATCAGCTAAATGTCTCCTGTTGTGCGAAATCAGTGTATCTTAGCCTGCTGTTTACTCAGAAATTCGCCTTCTACTTCATCTTTGCCTGATACAAACTACAGCTCACTAATTTTGCTAGTTTTATTGTTTGCATCCACTACTGAATTGCTTTAAGTAATAAAAAGTTTGATATCACACCATCTGGTCCAAACCGGTTACAAATCCAATTTTGAAGAGTTCTTCTCCATCAACTTTCGGTACTTTACAAATAGCCAAAAACTTCTAGGTACAGCATACTCCAAAACAACAGAGGCTAACGCAATCCGCCTGAGACAACCGGTGCTCTCTGTGCAGAAGAAATGGGTCCAACCACTATTACTGCTCTGGCACATAAAATTTGACTCCAGAAATCTTTTTTCCCTACCCTCGCCCTTGACATGATCATTCATCCATCTGAAGTTTATAATCGATATGTATAAAATTTATTTTTGAACATGACTCGTGGGGATTTATTACTATACACTCGTTGTCATTCATAAACATTTACTTTGCAATATTAGTGTTCCATTTTTTACAATTTTAACTGACTAAAAATGCCCATTAAAATTTTCAAAAGAATGGAATACTGAACAAAGAGTACTCTTTTCGATAACTTCATCATCAGGCTCTACAGTTATATATACATTATAGTTAGTGAATGAATTAGTGTTATGAACAACACTAATGTTGTTTAAATGACAACGAATCAATAATATCAATAGATTACAGTTCCATAGCATCAACATAACAATAAACTGAATGTCAGAAAAATGAGGATAGATAATATTACAAATTCATGAATTTATAGTCTCTACTGAAGGCTGGCCAGGGCAGTAGTAGTGTCTGCATTTGCTTCTTTTGAACGCAAAGCACTGGTTGTTTCACGCGAATTGCAATAGCCTCTGCTGTTTGGAGCATGCGATACCTCGATGTTTTTGGCAATCTATTTGGTACGTTGTAGATGATAGAGAAGGGTTCTTCAATGTTGGCTTTGTGGCCAGTTCGGACCAGATGGTCTAATATCGAACTGTTGATGCTTTTCACTACACACTGGTAGATGTTCCCGAGCGAGCACGAAAAATCAAGTTCCTAGAGCAACGGCCAATATAACTCTCTCCACAAGCGCAGTTGAGTCGGTTGATACAATTAGAAGTGGCTAGCTAGTCTAGGTACTTCATCTTTCAGTCGAGGAATCACCATCGGTCGTGTAGAGAATAAGACTTGTACTTTGCCAGCATTAAACGTTCTCTGAACTGATATTCTTAATTTGTTCGTAATTATTTCTCTAGGTATATCACCCTTGAATTGCAGTCGTATATATAAAGGCTTCTTGTTTATGGATAGTGAGTAGTCCTTTTCAACACTCTTAGTTATGTTTCTTGATAAATTTGTCGGGATAGCCATTTTCGATTAAAGTATCATATACAATGCTTAATTCATCTTCAGTTACTTCTTCTGAGCAAATGGCTCTAACTCTTTGGCTGAGGGTCTTTACTAAATTTTTTTTGTACTGGAGAAGAACGAAGCTGTGAAAAAGTGTATATTGTGCTGTCCATGTAATTTTTCAATGGAGATTTCTTTTTGTGCTACCATCTGGTTTTCTTGTAAGGCGAACATCTAGGAAAGCAGTTCTGTTTTGGGATTCCTCTTCGCACGATAATTTCATAGCAGAATGTACTTATTATCACATATATATGTTCTGGACTATAATCTATTAACCGTCTAATTACAAATAACTTTTGGGATTCTGGTCTAAATGATTCGACGTTATTGTTTTTACAAAAAAAACCACTAATGTTGTCATTACCAATTATTCTTTCATTATTATGGGTATATAACTGTAGAACCTGATGATGAAGTTATCGAAAAGAATATTCTTTGTGCAGTAATCAATCTTTTGAAATTTTGAATGGGCATCTTTAATCAAATTAAAAGTAAGATAACATTATTAATGTATAACAAAGAAAACTCACTTCAATGAAATCATGGATTTGTGAGTGTTCTTCAAAAGCATCTTGGTTAAAATATTCACTCATGTTTTTTAACCTGCTCCTGAATCGATGAATTTCTTTCATAACTAATTCAAGTGACACCCTAAATACACAAAAAGACAATAAAAGTTGGGCTGAGTTAATACCATATTTCATAATAAAGAGGCAAAGAATTTTGAGATTAGACTACCGATGATTTTACTGTGTTCATTGCCATTATCATCCTGTCTTAATACTTCTCATTACTATCTTGTCTGATGAAAAGAGATTCAAGGCTTCTAACAATTTGTCGTAACACTAAAATTTTCATTGATTCTGACTGAATACCAATGTCTTATATATGATGTAAATCTTGTTGTGATCAGTTGGGTTCACAAAGTCTCATGTAGGAGCAGGTATTCTCCGATGACACTGACTGACAGTTACCCTTAATATATCGTGAATTGGAGGAAATTAGAATCCACTGGCAGTTGGATTCCGTCCCAGTGGCTGAATGGTCAACGGGGTCTCTTCGCAACCCAAAATTCATGGGTTTGATCTTCCGTAAGGTCATGGGTAAGTACGCTGCAGAGTCCCAAACTAGGACAAAACAGTTTCCAATGGTTTTCTAAATGTTGTGAGGTCAATACATAACTTAAAATCAATCAAATTGCTGCTAGTCAACACTTGTAAACACTTTGCTAGCTTTTTAGGAAGTAGTGATCAGCGTTACCAAACTATTTGAAAAATATTCGTGTGCAAATGTATGCCTATAATGCATGCCCCAAGTGAATACTAATGAAGTAAACAATTTTACACTGACATTGACCTTTTAAAAAATAAATCCGCTAAGCAAACAATATGGTGGTTTTTTTGATTGGACACTAGTAACTAGTGCGACGTGTCAAGGTTGCAGATACGCCTTGCTGACTGAGTGCCAACTAGCACGAAACCTAGGTCGGGCAAGGCTTCCTGTGGCCAATTGCCTCCAACTATCTAATATCATCAAATCAATGTGCACCGTGATGGTGAGCTACCTAGAATGGTAGTCAGATTGCAAACCTGACTGATAGATTTCAGTCTGCACCAAAGAGAGGACTAGACACATCGCACTAGTTACTAGTGTACAATCAAAGTACCCACTACAGTCCTACAGGAGGTCAATCGCGGGCCCGAATAGCTCAGTGGTAACGTCTCTGGCTGCAGGTAGCACTGGGTGACGTGGGTTCGAATCTCAGAAGGGACATGAGTTGCTTCAAGGTTGTAGATACGCCTTGCTGACTAGTGACTACCAACTAGCGCGAAACTTAGGTCGAGCAAGGCTTCCTGTGGCCGATTGCCTCCAACTATCTAATATGGTGGTTTATTAATTTTTACAGAATTCCTTCGTATTCATATTACTAATCTGTTTATCGTATTCTCCAACATAGAAACTTATTCACTCAGTTGAAATCGAATAAAATTTTCTCTAGTTACTTTCGGTAGAATATATATATATATGAGTGGTTTTAAGATCGGTTATATTCTGTAAGCTTCACCCTGACGTTTGTTAGAATCTAATGCCAGAATAGTGGTAAGGGGTTGTGTTTAGCTCTAACATCTGTCATCTCTATTCCTGTCGTTCGTGGATCACTTTCACTATCTTCTCCGTTACACATGAGACTGGTTACCTTCTCTTAGCTAATTGAAATGCACAGAAGTTTCTTTTAGTTTATTCGAAACTTCAAGGTGATGATTTCGTCGCAACTGAAATTCTTATCATTACTGGTGTATATTATTATTATTCCTTACAGGTGTCAGCAGTACTGACGTAAATGTTGATATCGCGAATGTTATAATCATTTAAATTTGTTATCGTTCCTACTGATCACGATGGTAAGGAAAATGCCTTAATCTTCATGGTAATTTCTATCTGAATAAGATATTGTAAATGATTCCGTTAATATCAGTTAGAGAATCATTGGAAAACCTGGGAGTACTGGACAGCTGTTTCGCCCTAGTTTGAGACTCTTTGATGATTCGCCTTGTAGCCAGAAGGCCCTGGTTTCGAGCCCAGGTGTGTGCGTTCTGCTGAAGAGCCCCAAACTGAGACGAAACAGCTGCTCAGTACTCCTTGCAGGTTTTCCAGTGATTGTCTAACTGATGTCAGCTAATAATGAAATCCTCCAACCAATCAAACAAAAAATCCCTACAAAAACCAATACTTGAAAATTCCGTTGATATTTTATTTACATAATATTAAAATCTTACTCAGATGCTTCTTTCAAACACGGTAGTGTTTCTTTAATTCTTAGTATTGGTGAATTATTAACTTTCAATTCCTTTCAATAGAAAAATAAAAGAATTTATGTATGTGCAGGCAAACAAATATTTAAAAAAAATAAATTTGACATGTTAGATTTTATGACAAACTCTGTATATTACAATTTTCCGTTAGGCTTTTGAGTTTCATAGAGTCCGAATATTTCAATGGCACCGTTTGGGACTTCAACAATGAGTGATGAGGGTTTGGATCTCAGAAACGACCTCAGTTTCACCAAGGTAATATGTGTGCGTCGATGGCTGAGTAGTAGTAGGATCACCAACCACACGGGAAGTCAGGCTTTGACTCCCAACATACACACTACTAAACCTCTCCTAACCAGCAGTATGCTCGGAAAAGGGAGAAGTTTGGGCGTGAGGATAGCAGGTGCACTCCCCCTAAAAACCACAACAGCCAGTGAAACTTCAAAACTCAATCTTAAAACCCTATGTTCCACTCGGAACGCATGCAATGATGAAAATTGAATTATATGGTCTTCAAAATGACCAGATAGAAACAGAATCTCACGGAAATTCATTTTTTACGAAAAATTACATACGTTTAGTGAATTTTGGCTGCCTTTTTATTAAAACTTAAAGGGAGAACTGATTTTTTTTATTCTGCCTACCACAATTTTTAATAAATCTTTCTTTCAGTAGTACAGTTAGCCAACTATTTTCCTGACTTCTTCGATTATAAAGGCTAGAAAGTGTAATACATACATAAGTGAAGTAGCAGGTAGCTTGACATGTTGTCAGTGGCTTAAAACTCCATTTTTACAGCATGTAACGATTAGAATTCGGTTACCTAAGACAAAACTTCTCCATATACGTCACCATGAGCCACAAACTAATCGAAGGCTGATGATACTATCTAGTCGCTTAGGCTGAAGTAGGTAAAGCAGAATTCGAGCCCGGAATCCTATGGCTGAAAGCAAGTGCTTAAGTCAATGAGACATCTTACCAGCACATATATTTATACGTGATATTCTTTCCCTACGTACTGAAACATTTCAGGACAGTTGTAAAGTGAAGTTGGGAGATTAGATTGGATTTCTCTCTTCTCTCTTCAGTGTGTGGTGAGAGCTGTCTGCAAGACAAAATTGTAGACATCAGTTGATGTCAGAGTTCACGTTTCGAATCGGGGTTATGAGTAAAACCAAGAACAAAGCCTAACCTTGAGGAACTCAGCAATCAGTCACAACAGAATTATCCTGGGTGGATACGATTCGCAGATATATCAACGAACTGTCTAAGAAACGGACACAAAGAGATGACAAAATAACCTTCAGAAGGGAAACAACCAATCAGAAGACGTTGTCTCTCTGCTAACAATAACGAATAATAATGCACATAAAAATCTATAAATATCTGTTGATTTTCTCAGTAAATGATCTGTTGCCTGACTCTTGTCTTCTGTCTTTACAATTGTATGTCAATTTATGAAAGTAACCACAGTACGTTGTCTTCTAGTTTAGCTCACATTACACCATACCAGTTAGTTAAGAAGAGATCATTCGAATGTCGTTATGACTCTGATTATCGTTCCAATTGAAATTATATAAAACTATTGTTATCAGATCACTTTTGCTGAAGATTAAAAGCATTTCTTTTACGAGTTGATCACGGACTGATATCAGTTGGAGAACCATTTAACACAAGCAGGGAGTACTGGACAGCTGCTGTTTCATCCTAGTCTGGGAATCATCGGCAGTACGCACCCACTGGGATTCGAACCCAGGACCTTCCGGTTACAAGGCAAGCTCGTATACCATTCAGCCACTGGGACCCAATTCAATGGTTCCTGAATTCTAACTTCTACCATTTCGTGATTTTAGCGCAACCCCAACTATTGTCGTTGGTGGGACATCCATCCACACACGTGACTTCTAATTGGACCTCACTAGTCACGACTTCTCACGAGAACTCCAGGAAGCTCCAACCTGTAGCAAGTCACTAGCGAGCATCAGAATAATTTTCTAAAGTTTGGTTTGTAAGGATTAGTTATGTTTTACGAGTTGATCACGGACTGATATCAGTTAGAGAACCATTGGTTCATGAACCATTGAATTGGGTCCCAGTGGCTGAATGGTATACGAGCTTGCCTTGTAACCGGAAGGTCCTGGGTTCGAATCCCAGTGGGTGCGTACTGCCGATGATTCCCAGACTAGGATGAAACAGCAGCTGTCCAGTACTCCCTGCTTGTGTTCAATGGTTCTCTAACTGATATCAGTCCGTGATCAACTCGTAAAACATAACTAATCCTTACAAACCAAACTTTAGAAAAGTATTTCTTTTACCCGTTTGTGGTAACTAGAACTATTTTTAAAAAGATTATATTTATAGTCTAAAAGGACGTGAGTTAACAGTCTACTATGTCACCGATGAAAAGGTTGATATGTTACATTGCTTACAAACGGTCAAATTATTTCAAGATAAAAAAAACAAAATTGAGATTTCTTTTTTCATAAAGTCATCAAGATATATTACCTGAACGAGAAAATGCAACAGTGTGATTTTTGGATCATTCGATCGAACTTCAGAAAGTTTTAGTAAACTGGAAATTTTGAAACCAGATGCTGATCCAAGGTTGTCACCCTAGTTTTTGGAAAATCAGAAATTAAACTTTTGTGTAACAAAAGGCTAACACAATTATAAAGGCATAATACTTAAAAAACAATATGTAATTGGTGGGAGATAGTTTATGTGTATTCTGAAATGCATTCATTTTAAGGTTACTAAATTGTAATATTCAAGTATTTTTGAGATTATATTACAGTATATATGATATAAGGAACCTATTTGTCAATTTATTTATGGCGAAATCCGAAGCTTCCTGAGGGATTTCGAAGCTGTTGCTATGGTTATATGCTTTTAGGATCCAGTGGTTAAGACAGCAATATTGGGGACGCTACTGAGAAGTCAGGCGAAGTCTGCCTTCAACAGTTCTTGTGAAACGGTCTCAGACATATCGCAGTGGGAGATCATTCACTCGCTAATTTTAGAATATAACAGCCTGGTGGATCAAAAAGAGGCATTGAAAAAATTAAGGATCCCACGGCTTGTTTCAAATGGACATCTACCGGTTTTGGCAGTAACACCGATAAATCTGCGATGTGCTTTACCAGCCTTAAACGAAGATCCAGATACGCAGTTTACGGATTGCGTTTTCACTGCTATTTCTCACCAGCTTCAGTCAGTGAATGCGATCCGATCTATGGTGATATTCACAAGACAGTTAAGGAGTCCGACAGTCACGCAAGTGAACAAGAGTGAGGCAGACTGATAAATGTTTCTTTTGTGGGCACTGGCAGAGAAAATGCCCATAAAGAAGAGAAGCAAAAGTTGCAAACGACGTAATCTTTGTCCTTTCTCTAGTGTTAGTTCATAAGTTGTAGGATTGATAGAAAGGGGTACCGTGTATTGAAGAATGTGAGTAAACGAAAGACATTCAGTTTGTTTGATTGACACAAGAGCAGCCGTTTCGCTGATAGGTAAAGAATATTATAGGGACACAAGGGTGCTCGCTGGTAGTTCAACCGTGAGTTCTTCGTGTTTCAGAATGTGTTGTAGAGGTCGAAGCATGCAAAGTCTCTTACCAAATACTAACAGGTTCTACCGTTTGAGATAATTGATATTAATGTAATTCTACTCAGCGATCGAATCAAGTCCTTTTCTAGTCAAAAGCCAAATTACTGCTCAGGAAATGAACCAAAAATTGAATATTATTAAGTCAATGAAAAAAGAATTTAGGTACTGCACACATTCTGTTTTGTCCTTCCTAAGCACAGTATAAAGCTAGTAAAAGAAAGTGCTGTTCGACACGTTTTGTTTTGCTTCAATACATAAAAATACACAAGACGAATAGAAGCCCGTTTAAATCTAGTTAACTTTTACAGTCACTGGATTCTGTTACTTAATGTCTTTGGTTTACATCTTTCGCAAAACAAGTGTGAAGTTAATTTCTGCTCAGCTTTCTAGACGGCCAGTTGTAAAGCAAGTTTGATAAGAAATAGATTATAATTTTAACAGTGAGCACGACCACAGTCATTCAATCAAAAAAAGAACAAAGCTTTTTTCTCACCCTGTTCATATAGTTCCCAATTTCTAAAACAGTTTGAAGTAATTCGCAAATTAAGGGCGAAGTTAGTATCTCTGAAATAAAAAGCATATTGAAAATAACAGATAAATAGCATAAAAATACTTTGATGGGATTTTGAGATTATGCCACTTTTCAGCAATATTTTCACTCCTTGCATTCAAAGTGGTATATACAGCTTCAAGCTATGCAGTTTCATTAGCAATACTGTTGTTCTTGCTATGTGGAATCGCTAGTCTCACTCCAGACCTGCCCCGTTGTCTGCGCTTACTACTGGCAATACAAAGTCTAGGAGTTTCCGACCACGCATCGTACCAAGACTTACGTGTGGCTGGCGAGCATTCTACCACTCAACCACCGAGATTATATATATATGTACAATTTCAGGGGGAGGCGGGTGTTTCAAACTGTTACAATGAAGCTTCCTTGTATCTGCTAATCGTCAACAGTTTTTATGGGTATTGGTTGATACACCTGTTGGTGCTGGCATTCATTTTTGTTCCGAAAAGTAGACGATTTATAAAAAGTTAATTGAGTTTTAATTTTCCTATGCGCCATTCATTTAATATAGCCATACTTTCAGAAAGATACTGTTGAAAGTAAGTTCTTTTTTACAGGATTTTCATCATGAGCTGACATTAGTTAGAGAACCATTGGAAAACCTGTAGGGAGTACTGGACAGCTGTTTCGTCCTAGTTCGGGACTCTTCATCAGTACGCACCCGCCGGGGCTAGAACCCAGGACCTTCTGGTTACAAGGCGAGCTCGTAGACCATTAAGCCACTGGGACCCGATCAAATGGCCCATGAATTCTAACTTCTGCCAATTCACGACATAGCGCGACCGCTAGCCAATGTCTTCGGCGAGTATTTGTCCTCACGCCCGACCTGCTGCACCCTACTGGTCACGACTTCTCACTAGAACCCCAGGTAACTACCTACCTGAATAGGGCAAGTCGCTAGTGAGCATCTCATTGATACAAACCAACACTTGAATAAGTTCTTTTTTTATTCTTTTACGTTCCCAATGGAACGTAGGGCTTCAGGCTGGAGGCTTGAAGTTTCGGTAGCAGTGGTGTTTATTTTTACGCTTAGGGTTGTTAGCCTCATGGCCAACCTACCCTCTTTACCAGTCATATTACTGGCTTAGCGAGGTAAAGGAGTGCTTCTGTGGCCAGAGATCGAACCCTGGACCACGTGAAGCGTGGTCGGCGAGCATTTCACCACTGTGCCCCTGACGTGCTGACAGTAAGTAGTGTGAAATAATGTGTATATTTAACTTAATCATAACTAGGTAGTCCGATATTAAAGAAAATTCAAGTTCTTCAATTGCTCATTGTTGAAACTGTACATGAAACAAGATTTTAATTGCTGGATTTCTAAGATACATTCAATAAAAGTATGTCTGATACTCTTAATGAAAGAGTCTTAATTCATTTGTTTAGGTAACTTGTAAAGAACATTTCCGAACTGAAGGCATATTTGTACGGAAAACTGACTCCAATGAAGGGAAAGAAAAGAAATCAGAGACTGCTTAATTAGTGCTTCAATTTACTTCGCTATTTTTGGTTTTACCCGAAATACTTCCTGAAAGTGAAGCGATGAATTACTAGAAACTACCTCAATCTTTGTGTGAATCGCATAGTGATTGAAAAGTAATCCAGTCATTGATTTTCATTGCCCAAATAGGGTGTGGTTTCACAGTTTGATGTGTGACTAGTTGTCGTCATACGAATCTTTAGACAGTAGGAATTAAGCAGTCGCATACATAACTCAATCCCAATGCCTACACTTCATAAAATGGACGGTTTTCTTTAGTGAAGCTGTTGATTTCACCTTCACGCTTAATGTATGAAATTTGATTAAATGCTTGTTAGTATGTTCAATGTTACTGTCACGTTCTCTCTTCTGACGAGAAATCTTTTTGGTGTCACTAATGTCTCTTTACTCACGATGGAATATTGAAATGGCAACACTTTGGTGTATTCTTCTGATGATAAAGTACTTTCTGAGAGGGAATGGTAGTTTATTTTTGTTGGCAAAGCTACTGAAGAAGATTAAGACTTTTAGAATGGATGACATTGTTTGCAACTGGTGAAATTAATTAATTCAAGGTTTATGAATTTATTATTGTCCAGTTTATTCTGTCTCTGATCAATATTGGCTCTAGCCCCTTAACAGTCCTTTTCTCTTTGAAATTCCTGAGGGTAATATTGATTTTGGAATCACGACAACATTTCATTACTGTAGTAGTGTACCTTATTCATTTTCTAAACAATGTACTCTAAACTACGACGATGAGTAAGTTAAATTTGTTGTTGATCATTCAGAGTATAATTCCACTGTGGATAACATTTATGTTGATAAAGTCTCACAGTGTTGTACAGTAGTATTTACTGATGACGTTCCGAGCACAATTTATTGCTCACATAAATATCAAGTTACTCACACAACTTTCTAGCTTCGTTGATATGATTCCACTATTTTTCACCTCTTGATTTGATTAGTAGTAATAATTTCCATATTTCTGGTATGAGTGATGAGTCATTTCTATTGCACATGGTGGGTGTAGATTCCATGAACAAAGATTCAGTAATCAACTTCTCTTTCCACCTAGGTGGATCTTTGTTGATAGAATCTACACCCAACATGTGCAATAAGAATGACTCATCACTCATACCAGAAATATGGAAAATGAATTGGCAGGAGTTGGGATTCATGGACTGGCCATTGGATCGGTTCCCAGTGACTTCATGGTCTATGAGCTAGCTCGCCCTGTGACCAGAAGGTCCTGGGTTTTGAACCCTGGCGGCGGCTGTGTACTGATGAAGAGTCCAAAAGTAGGACGAAATAGCTGTCCAATACTCCCTGCAGGCTATCCAATGTTTCTCTAACTGATGTCAGCTCATGATAAAATCCTCCAAACAATGAAATATGGAAATTATTACTACCAATCAAATCAAGAGATGAAAAATAGTGGAATTATACCAACGAAGCTGGAAAGTTGTGTGAGTAACTTCATATGTATGTGAGCAATAAATTGTGCTCGGAACGTCATCAGTAAATACCACTGTATAACACTGTGAGACTTTGTCAACATAAATTTTGTCCACAGTGGAATTATACTCTACCACAGTGTACAAGTTCTATTTTTACATTCTGAGTATTTTTACGAGATGTATTGTAATCGACTGTGAAAGGCATAAAATTCTTTTAGAAGGTGCTGAAGACTGAATAATTGAATTGAATAATATTTCTGATAGTTTGGATGTTACTAAAATTCCATTTCTGCACCGGTTCCATTTTTGTCGCACTTTCACTTGTGGTGAGAGCTGTCTGCAAGTCAAAGTTGTAGATAACAATTGACGTCAATGTTCACTTCCCGAATCGGGGACATGAGAAAAAACAAGAACAAAGCTTAACCTTCAGGAACTTAACAACCAATCACAGCAGACTTAACGTGTGCAAATAGGATTCGCAGACATATGGCTTAACTTTCTAAAAAATGGACGCAAAGAGATGACAAAATAACCTTCAGCAAGAAAACAACCAGTCAGAAGAGGTTTCTCCGCTGATAGTAATGTATATATATATATATTTTCTCAATAAACTATCTGTTGCCTGACTCTTGTCTTCTGTCGTTACACACTGAGTGAATCTATTCACAAATGAATATTGAGTAAGATTTATTATGTAAGAGGGTAGTGACTTAAACTGTTGTAGAATAATGTAGTGTAATTCAACAATGCGTTTTATTATTATGGTTTTATTAAAATAATACTTTTATTCTTTTTATAGGTTTTTTGATACGATAGGCTATTATTAACCTGAAGACGTCTATGGTTCAATGGGAGAATATCTGCCAGCAACACACTTAACTGACCTGTATTAAACTAAGTAAAGAGGGAAGGTTGAGTGTGACTCCAGTGACCCTACCTCGCAAAAACAAAATTTAATTCGCATGGTTGTATTAATAAACCCATAACAGCAAACATTAGTTACCACCATCTCAGGAAGTTTAAATGGAAGTCGTCTTTTTCACATAACTCCGTAGCATCACATCAACAGTAGGTAGGGGGCACGGATGAGGATGTTTAAGCCAACCTGGATCGGATGGGGAAAGCAACACAAGCTCTCTTACTGCTCTGAATTCACTGTGTGTGTACAGCACATAAAAACGGGGAATAAGATCCAAATTTTCAATGTAAAGTTATCCCTTATATATAGTTCAGAGAGTTGGCGCATGCGTCACCGAAAGTATTTTCAAACAGGTTGCTGCAAACTTTCATAAACAGCCGCCTTCATTGGCTTAATTCTGGAGGTCAGATGGCCAGCCTTGAAAAACAGAAGCAGTGAAGAACTCTGGTCGGCAGCAAACCAGCCAAAACAACCCACTGCACAACAAATATGAAGGAGGAGATAAAGATAGATTGGACATATGCTGAGGAGACCCTCAATTGGAGTCATATGACAGGCTGCCGAGTGGAATCTGAATGGGAAGCAATGGGTTAAGCGTCAGATAGCAAGCAGAGAAGAAAATACGATCTAGTGAGCAGTTATGTCGCCAGATGGAAATGATAGCAAAGAATAGAATACAATGGGGGATGTTCTGCTGAAGCCAGAGGACTAATAATAATAAAGTAATAATTGAACTAATATGATATGATTATAGACAATAAATTGTTCTCGAAGCTTCATTCAGTTACTAATACTGCATTGCTGTGTTATATCAAACTAACAGCAGCCACGCTGTACTCCTACATTAAGACACGTTGTATATGACAAACAGCGTAGTCGTATAAGTGACTGTGGCTTCTTTTAAGAAAAGCAATGCAAACACTTAATACACCTGTTCATAGCATGTAATTTCATATGCAACATACTGTTAGGTTTGTCAAGTGAAATATCCATTCATCCCCCTTTAATGATCAATATTTCTGAAAGGCAAGCCGCTGAATGCGTTCTGCACACACTCGTTATCTTTATATGCTTTAGGTGAAACAGTAATCAGGATTTAGGGGGAAATCACCACAGTATTCCTGAATAATCTAATAGTATATTGTATGCATTCCGGTTCCACTGAAAAAAAACCTTGAAAATGAATATATCTTAGGCTTTAGAGGGTATAAACCAATCATTCATCCTAATAATTTCTATTTACGAGGATGAATTACCTTGGCCTGTTTTCAATACGTTGTCCAGTGCTAATTTTATCCAATTCACAGCTGTTTGGAATTCTTCCTTTAATAACATACTGTCAATTTTAAGATAGTATCTGAAATTGAAAGAAAAAAATTTCACACAACACAAAAAGTATACAATGAAACAGTTTTTAGATGGAATAATGGCAGAAACGCTGTATTGATCTTAGTTTGCCTTTCTTTTGGAGTTACTTATTGGATCAAACTAGCTTTGTAAATGAGAAATGGGGGAATTAAGTGCTATGCCGTGTGGATGTGAATGCACTTCTTAGAAAAATTACATCTCATTTGATATTGGAAACGGTATCACTCAGTTTTGAAGTCGAAGCATCTATCATTAAGGTGGTCATGTGACGATCCGTAAAGGAATAAAAGTTTCTGTGGGTTTATCCACAAGTCTCAGTGATAAGTTTCAATGGAGCATGAAATGCAAGTTTAAAAGAACTTCATGCTGACTGAAATCTCGAACCAGAATTTCTAGCTGGGTCGTGGATGCGCACTGCTAGGACCACACCACTGTCTAGTGATTCCTGGCTTTCAATAATTCTCTAATTGATATCAGTTCATGACGAAATCTGATATGGAGTTAATCTAAGACCCTTCAAAAACCCATAATCTAAATATTCTAGTTTTCTGCAATGAAACAAGTTAAATACCTGATAAAGTGTGAAGGTACGTTTTGGATGTTATTCTATATAACAGGAATATGATATATGCTTCTAAAGATATTTCTGGTGAAACACATTCATGAAAATATTCTCCAAGTATTATTTGTCATTTCATAATCCTTGCACTAATAAGGAACTGATAATTCACTGATTCAAGCGTTAAATATTTCATCACATTTTGTACTCTTCTTTGTCTTGTGTTTCACTGTTATAATATTAGTATTCACCTCTTGCATCCTGAGTAGAAAATCGGATTCAGCAAGGCATCTCCATTCCACTGGCTACTCTGTTATTACTCTCAACTGGCTGCACAGATGCCCACAGGCTTTCATTTTTCCCTTACATGATACCCCCTGTGTCACTTTCGCACGCCCAACTCGTCGTTTCCCATTCGTGTTCCACTCCACTACCTGACGTGTGACTTCATTTGAATATCTCTTCTGCCTGTGTACAATGCATTTTTATTCCCTTCTTCATATTTGTTAGGTAATAGATTGTTAGCAGATTCGTCGCCTCTCAGAGTTGCTGGCTGCTTATTCTTTCAGGCTGACCATCTGATCTGCAGTGCCGAGTTGGAGAGGTCAGCTGTTGATGAAAGTATGCAGTATCCTGTTGGAAATACTCTCGGTAACGCACGCGCCAACTCTCTGAACCACATAGAAGTGATGACTTGATATTAGTGTTGAACCAACGATGTAGATCTTCACACCACACTGATTTCAAAGTAATGAACACTAGTGTTGCTTTCCCCATCCAACCCAAGTTGGCTTGGATATCCTTATCCGTGGAACCTATTTGTAGTTGAGATGATGCCTACGATGTAAGTGAAAGAGACGACTTTCCGCAGATTGGTGCTAGTTGTTTGTTAGGCATCATCACCTTTGTTTACTATATGTTCACCTATTTCCCTTTTATTGCTGACTCTTCTTCCAACTTGTTGGTTTTCGCTTGCAGATCTTCGAGTTTATTCGACGTGTTGCATACATTATCCGTGCCACCCAGATCTTCTAGGATTATTTCGTAGGTTGAACGAATGTCCGTCTTCTCAGCCCTCATACTATGCTGCATTATTCAGTCCACTGTTGTTAGAAGGCAGCCTTTCGTTATCTCTATCTCCATTTGACAGAATTCGCTGAGCTTTCTATTGTGAATTACTTGGTATCATCATACAGCTGTTGAATGAGACTTATAAACGTCTGCCGTACTGCACTCCTTAGTGTCTAAGTAGCTGCCAAATTACCTTATGATTGACTCTATAGAAAGCAAACTGTTGACTTGTATTCTATACGCTGTTCGATGGTGATGCGAAGTAATAGGATATGGTCCACGTATGAATCTTCTCCTGAATCTAGGTTATTCTAGGCGAAGTCTTCCATCCAGGGCATCTTTTTGATTGAAAGACTACTCGTGACAGGTATAGCAAGCTAGACTTGATAAGATGATGTTTATATTCATAGATGAGAAAGATAAATTGACCGACAGGTTTTTTTCAAATCGACATCCAGTTTATTAGCTCTGCTGTGTTTGTATACCTTAATGATACATTGTTAGTTTCATTTAGATTGGATTAGTGATCATGAATAATCCCCATCCAGACATTAATGAAAACAAAACAAGTAGTTCAGCGAAGAGTCTTTTTTCGGTGAATTCATTCACTTAGCTGTACAGTCGCAATTATTATTATTATTATTGTTCCCTTGGGTTCCTAGTGGAACATAGGGCTTCAACTGCACGTCTCCACTTGCTTCTGTCTTCTGCTGTTCTTTTCACTTGCGTCCATGTTATTCCATACTGTTTCATCTCCTCCTCACACGATCTCCTCCATGTCACCCTTGCACCGACGTCCCACTCGCCGCTTACCTTTCGGGTTCCACTCGAGCATTGGCCTGACGCGCGATGTCACCCAGCGGCCTCCTCAGCGAGTGTCCAATCCATCTCCACTTTCTCCTGCATATTTGTTGGGCGATTGGTTCTTGTTTTGTTTGTTCCCATAGCTTCTTGTTTGTGATTCTTTCTGGCCATCTAATCTTCAGTATGGAGCGAAGACAGTTGTTGATAAAGGTCTGCAACCTGTTGAAAATATTCTTGGTGACCCACCGCCAAGTTTCTGATCCGTAAAGCAAAATTGACGTTTGTATTGAAAATCCGAATTTTGTTGTTGATGCTGAGTGACGAAGATTTCTAGATTGGTTTCAGGTTGATGAATGTGTTTCTCGCCTTCCCGATTCTCGATTTGACATCCTCGTCGTCCGTTCCTCCTTTAGTTGAGACAATGCTCCCCAGATAAGTGAAAGAAGTAACCTCTTTCAAATCCCTCCCCTTGATGGTGATTGGCACTGGCTGAGGATGTCGCAATTATGTATATTTATTTCTAACTCCTTATAATATTTGTAATTTTTAGAATTTTTTACATAATTCCATTCTTTACATATGTGCATCCTAACCACAACTCACTCATTAAACTAGTCATCTTATTACGCAACTGTACTAGGCTTACTCAACTTCTTTAATTTGTTAATAAATAGGTTTTTTTGACAACAAATCGCCACTGCCCTCTTATCAATCTTCATCCTCCCCTAGTTACCGTTTGATTACTTATCACATTTTTTGAAATATCTTGACAAAAATCACCCCAACCTATTATTATTCTTGTCTGACAAACCTAATGTACACAAACATACAAAAATAAGTATATATAACTGCGATTGTACAGCCAAGTTAGTGAATTCGCCGAAAAGAGACAGTTCGCTGAACCACGTGTTTTGTTATCATAAAAGTGATCAGACTAATACATGTTAACAATTTCAGGGATCATTGATGTGGTGTTATAAGTTGTCAAGCAAAGTATTTCACGTGGTTTTATATTTACTTATCTTTTTTCATGAATGTTTATATTTTCATCCTTTATTAATTTTCTACTTAATCAATAAATAAATAAGGAGCGGAACTGAAATGTTTATAATAAGAAGCTGTCGGTTGATTATAACCACATTTTGAAACACGCTGCTTCATGAGAGCTAATTATTATTACTATTATTGTCCCCTTGGGTTCCTAGTGGAACATAGGGCTTCAGCAACACATCTCCACTTTGTCCTATTCTCTGCTGTCCTCTTCATCTGGGCCTGTGATTACCCATAATCTTTTATCTCCTCCTCGCCACACGATCTCCTCCATGTCACCCCCGCAAGGACGACCCACTCGTTGTTTCCCATTTGGATCCCCCTCAAGCAATGACATGGAGTGCGAGGTCATTCTACGGTCTCCTCAGTTTGTGCCCTATCAACCTCCATTTTCTCTTACATATTTGTTAAACGATAGGTTCTTGGTTTATTTATTCCCATAGTTTCTTGTTGCTAATTCTTTCTGGCCATTCGATCTTCTATATAGAGCGAAGTCAGCTGTTGGTAAAAGTTTGCAATAGCCTGCTGGAAATGCTTTCCGTGATACGCCAAGTTCCTGACTCATATAGAAGAACTGACTGACTTCACATTTGTGTTGAAAATCCTAATTTTGTTCTTAAAGCTGACTGACTGCAGAAGATCTCCAAACCAATTTCAGATTTATGAAGGTGTGCCTTGCCCCTTCCGATTCTGGCTGACTTTGGCATCTTCATCCGTTCCACTTGTGGTTGAAACAATGCTTCCTGGATAAGTGAAGGAAGTGACCTCTTTCAAATTTCTCCCATTAATAGTGATTGGAGCTAATTGCTGACCTTAAAATCTCGAGTCTGAAATCGTATACAAAAGAACCATACAATATTTACTTTCGTAGTCATAAGAGGAATATAAAGCTAGAGAATACTTTAAGAAAAAGGCAGAATTAAAGTGTTTACTATCAATCCGAGGATAAAAATAGAATAGATTTTTTGATATTCATTATTCTAAATACATAAATACATTGTACATCAAAATAAACATAATGTAACGTCACTATGACAACCAAAGATTCATTTACACAAACAAAAGTGAAAAATATTGATTCATTCGAAAAGAGACGGTCACACTTTTTTTAATATGCATCAAGTATTTGTAAAATTACACATCTTTTTAACTGGTTTAGACAGTTATATCACTAATTAGTTAGTGGAAATGCATGTTTTAAAGACAGTTTTGGAAAACCATTTATCCTAAGACTTTTTAAGGAACTAATTTATTCGACATTTGAATTCCTCCAACGTATGAAAATTACCCATGTTGTGTGAATTAATAACACAGTAAAGAGATCTCTTTCTGTAACTTTTCATCAAAGGTGTACAGTTATTTAGAGGCTTATGTGTACAATATTCAGCAGGAACTTAACTCCCCCCCCCCAGATAACTGTACACATTTGATGAGAAGTTACGAAAAGAGACCATATTTACTAATCTATATGTTCTTTACTCGACACCTCAAAAGAACAAATACTT